ACTTACCAACTTGGTACCAACATTGCAACTACTGTTTTCGTCTCGTTCTTTCGTAGTTTAATTTTATCAAGGTTTTTACCAGGTGTGCGCTTTTTTTTCTCATGGGTTTTTCCTCAGTGGCAATTTACACATAGTTAGTAGTGGCACATTAAGTGAACAAATATAGGTAATGTATGCGTAATGCTCGTATCTTTTTTCGTACAAAAACTGTATATTACTGCGAAACTATCCCGTTTCTCAGCATCTCCATTTAAAAATAAAAGCATTTTTTACAGTATGTACTTTCACGCCCCGAGACAATATGATATTTCTAACAAAAGCCATGGAAATCCAAATTTCTCACTTGGTACACAAAAATTTTAAAAATTCAAAAAAGTGGTACAACAACAATAGTCTAGTTTAAGGTGTCTACAAAATAGCGTTTATTTTTGCATTGTGTTTTGTTGACCGCGTCACGCATTTTCTTCCATACAAAGTGTTCGACAATTTGTTTTGTATGGAACGAGAATTCTTAGCCTATTGAAACTTGCATCTTATTAATAATCTATATATATAAAAATGAAGGTTTGCCTGTATGTCCTTTATAGGCGTCAAAAGTACCCAACCGATTTTAATGAAAATTTTACGGTAGGTGCATATCATCACTGGGAGTATTATAGAACAAAACTAATGTCGCTCCAGTCGAGATATTTCTAAAATCCGTATTTACGGTACGCAGGTAGCCTTTTAGCATATATTAGCATATATGACCAGGGACCTATCTATTCGAAAAAATCGTATTTACGGTCCGATTTGCTTAAAATTCGGTACGCAGGTAGCTTTTTAGCATATGTGATCCATTTTTTCTGAGAACTGGACCAGGGACCGATCTATTCGAAAAAATCGTATTTACGGTCCGACTTGCTTAAAATTCGGTACGTAGGTAGTTTTTTAGCATATATTAGCATATATGGTCGATGTTTTCCGAGAAGTGGACCAGGGACCGATCTATTTGAAGAAATCGAATTTATGGTACGATTTGCTTAAAATTCGGTACTTAGGTAGCTTTTTGCCTGGATAAGCTTATAGATTCCTGTTTTCCAGTTTTCATGCAATTTCGAATATAAGTAGCTTTGAGCAACCACCCTATCAAGGGGCGAATTCGTCACTAAGCAAGATATTTTTGCGCCCATCACAAACAACGAATAATTATAATATTTAATATATCTCAACTAATATATATTTTGAAAGCCGTTTGTTAGTTTTCGCAAGGCTCGAGAGCGGCTGAACCGATTTTTTTGAAACTGCCACCTGCCGCACGTGTCCCAAGGATGGTTTTAGGCTGAAAAAAAATCTATATGTAAAGGGGGCGTGGATCTCTGAAAGTGTGCGTGGTAGAGTTTTGGAAATTGGTATGGAGATATACGAAATCAATCGCATACCCTTGGAGAAAAATTTAAGCTTTTGTAAAAAGGGGTGTGACATCTCGCATACAAACCGAATTTTTCATACTGCTTATCTCTGGAAATTTTTTGGTAGAGTTCTAGAGTTTTGTATGGAGATGTACGAAGTAAATCGCATACTCTTGGAGAAAAATTGGAACTATTGGAAAAGGGGGCGTGGCATCTGCCATACAAACCGAATTTTTCATACTGCTTATCTTTGGAAGTGTTCATGGTAGAGTTTTGGAACTTGGTATGGAGATATACGAAATCAATCTCATAGTCATGAAGAAAGTGGGCAGCTGTTGGAAAGGGGGCGTGGCTCCTCCCATATAAATCGAATTTTTATACTGCATATCTCTGAAAGTATTCATGCTACAGTACTGGAACTTCGTATGGAGATATGTATGTAGTTGAAATCAAGCCCATACTCATGGAGAAAATTTGGGCTATTTGAAAATGGGGTGTGAGGCCTACAAACGTACCGACCTTTAGCTATCTTTGAATGTATTTATAATTCTTCTGTAGGTGTGTTTGTGAGTGAAATCCTCCTAAATGGTTGTACGGATTTTAACGAAACTTTTTGTGTGTGTTTGAGTGTGTCTCTGGATGGTTTAGTTTCACAATTTAATGCGACAGTTGGCACTGTAGTTGAGTTATTACTAAAAATCTTATTTATGATCCGATTTGGCCAAATATGTATGCAATACTATTGCAAAAATGTGCTGCCAAGTGGTGCTGAAGTCAAGTTATTACTAAAAATAGCCAAGTGAGAAAGGGGCCGTGAAGGTCAGATTAAATCGAGCTGTTGCACCATTGAGTATATCCAACGCTCCTGCGTTGCGATTGGCCCAATGGATGTGATTTTCCCATATTATTATGCGTTCAAACTTTTAAGGTATTTCGTCTGAAATAAGTAGATGTATATTGCATTTCTGTAGAACAATGATCCGCACCCATTTTGAAATTGCCACCAACTATACAGCTTCTAGGACATTCACTATAGAACCGGGTCATTGTTGCCGCCAGGGAGTGAAGAGGAAAAAATTTATTTCGCTTTGCGAATAACCGTGCTATGAAATGCCGCACAACTGGAGAATTTCAAGAACGTCTTCACGGATATAGCACTTTCCTTAGGTTATTTAAAGCGGCAAATGACCACCAAACCATAATCTTAGCAGACGAATGTGCCAAAAAGTTTCAATAAAATATATAATAATTTTGGGCGGGACGAAGTTCACCGGGTCTGCTAGTATAATATAAATTATAAATACAAAGTTTGTTGTTGTGATTTTTTTTTAATTTCTCCACAAAGTTTGAAATGTGGATTTATATGGTATTAAGTATTATATAACTAACTAGACGTTTATAAAAAATTAATAAACATTAAATAAACGAAAGTATAATAGTCAAAGCTGGTGAAGATGTCATGTCCCTATTTATTTACATAACAGTATACATATATATACATTTCTAAAGGTATTTTTGTAACGTATTTCTCCGAACACTGTGTATTAAAAAATTTAGGCAGCAAAAAATGCATAAATGCAGTATTCTGGAACAAATCCCAGTATGCATTTTTGGAATAAAAAAAGTATTATACTGTCTAAAAAAGTATAGATACGAGCGTTATGTTTGCATCTTGCCAGGGAGGTTAAGTTTGGGTTGTAAACGCATGTATAGTTACATACTGTGTACATACCTATAACAAATTTACAAACCAGCAAATATAAAAAGCTTGCTATGAAAATTGGAAAGATTTATGTTTATATCTTAAAGTAACCAAATTGGACAAATACGTTAATTTTTAACCATTTGTCGCTATTTGGAGCAAAATTTTTTTCAAATTTGAATCGCAATACCTCCACAACAAGAGTTTTTCCAGACATAACCTATGTATATACCAAATGGAAGCTAAGGCTTTGAGCTAGACTTGAGGAAACATAGAATAAAATCGACTGACCAGAAAATCTCCGAAATATATGTTTCCAGCAGGCCAATTTTTAGTTTTGAGGCGATAAAGATATGACATATTTATATTTTATAAAAAAATACGGCCGCGCCCACAACGGCTTACAAAACGAAACATCCTGGAACAAAACCTTCTTAGTTTCTTTTTTACTTAAAACCCAAAAGTTTGAAAAAAAATTAAATGAAGGTACGTACAGACGCTACACACATCGCAAACACCTCGTAGTAGAGACACGAACCAAAACCAATTTAGCTCTATATCTTTGCAACTAGTAGCCGGAGCTAAATATATGTCTAAGGTATCATTGGAAAGGTTTTGACCTATAGAATAACACTAAATATGCCGGGTGCACCCATGTAACCCCTTAAACCGGCAAAAGCAAAAAACACGTTTTTTGTTTCGCAACACTCTGCCTAATTTTTAAGAATTCGGATAATCGTTTATGAAATTTGAATAAATTTTCTGAACATACTCTGCAATACCTTTCCAACGATATCTCAAAAATGTCGATTGGACGTCTGGATAAAATCTTCTAAATTTACGAATGTATTTCGTAAAATAATGGTTCGTAAAATCTTATTTCGTTGTGAAAAACGTGTTCGTATTAGAAACGAAAGTTTCGTACATTGTACAAAAACCAACTAGACTACGAAAGTTTTTCGTTGCACTTTTACGAAATTTTACTTTCAGTGTGTAATTATTTTTCATTGGGTGACACAATAGTTGTATCGTTTGTTTTGGCAAGAACATTTTCACCGTTTAATTTTAACATTTTGATGTATCTTAAACTCTTAAGATTAAAAAAAAAAATCGTAAAAATAGCTGCGACAGTTATTATGCATTTTTTTCTTAATTTCATGGTAAACTTTTGAAACTTCACAGATATGTTGTATTTGATGCCAACTTTCTATGCCTCTAATATGAGCAATTTATTTGAAAACCTCCTTAAGTTATTAAAACAAAAAATTATG